TCAAGAAGTTTTGAGTTCCAGAACCGCAAAGTGCATTTTATAAAATGGTGGCGATTCCGAACATTCACTTCATACATTTTCATTTACCTTCGAACAATCATTTGTTTTTTCTTTCAAATAAATGATAATTTCGTTGAATTATTATGAATTAAGTTTTTCTCCACTCGAAATGTGTGAATAATTATTACTTGCTTTGATTCTGCTACATTCCATTCAGTTAAAGACGAGTGAGTTTATTTTTTTATCGAAATGTACTGCATGTTGTTAATTTCACCGAAGGTAAACTCAATACAGATCCGAACCAAAGAAATTTGGATAAGAGTCAAAGTCACCTGAAAATAAACTTTGAATGACACTGTATGATATATCGTTGAATTTAGCCTGAAAAATTATTTCGAAAAGTGTCATGAAATATGCAGGTCCGTATTGAAAAAAATGAGGTTGAGGGTGCCTCAGAGAGTACAAAACGTTGGATTCTAAATCTGTTTACGTCAAATTAAGAACGTAGGAAAAGAGGAAAAACCAAAATGACAAAATTTATTTTTTTTACTATATCTCAATAATCAGCCCTGATATTCTCGATTTGTTTGAACCACTTGACAGTACTTGTATGAATGCAACTTTCTTTTTTTTTGACCGACCTTCTAACTCTTATGATTTGAAAGTTATCAATACAATCCCATTAAAAAAGTGGCCACTCTGTATATCAAGAATATTTTATTTCCATAATTATCGTTCATACAAGTGCAAAAAGCAAAATATAGTCAAATGGCAACAGTGTGCTAGTTGAATCAATAAGAGTGTTGGTGATTTGCTGACCAGAAAAAGATCGCCCAACATTCATAATCCGAATAACACGTCCATACTCAAAAATTCACATGAATTTCACTTGTTAAGGATTCCACCGTACATAAGATTGAAATATACCATTATATGAGGGTATCTTACTTATGAGATTTCTCAAAATATTTTGCTGACTAAAACCTTCCTATCGAAATATTCCGATCAAACCACATATGATCATCTGCCCTTTTATGTTATCATTGCCACCAATAAGAAAAGTTGAATCTGCCCCTTTCGAAGAAAGGGGAAGGACACCACCCACTATTGCCACAATAGAATCCACAATGTCGAAAGTTATCGGATTATTTTTGTGTATGGCTCTCCAGCTTTCTGGAATAACGTTTGCACAATTGTCTCATCCATCTTTACTGGTAGCAGGAGGTTGTATTTCTTAATGAGGATCTAGAGGTGATTTCGAATTGGGATGAAAGTAACCAGGTTCAATTCAATGCCACGAAAACTCATGCAACGATTTTCCAAAAGGATTAATGATGACGAACCGGATGTAATCATGTCAAGACAGACAATTCCTCTTTCTGCTTCGATAAGTTTCTTGGGGGTTAAAATGGACACCAATATGTCTTCTCAAAAGCTTGGACCACTGTTCCGAACCAGAAAACTGTACACACCTCAGCAACTTTTGATTCTTTGTAGAGCTCAGATCCGACCTTCTATGGAGTATTGTTCTCATGTCCCCAAACATACCCTGAAGCTGCTGAATTCCATCCAGAAAAGAGCCATCCGCCTGATTAGAGACACGAACATCACTTGCAACCTTGATAGTCTGGAATATCGAAGGAAGGTTGGAGATTTGTCACTCTTTCATAGATACTTACAAGAAAGGTGTTGACCATGTATAAAAAAAAANGATTGAAGACAAAATGAGAAAAAACCAAGAAAGTACTTGATAAAAATATATATATTCACAATATGAAGTACCTGAATATCAAATACTTGAGTTGTACCTAGCCAATTATTATTTAATGTGTATCTGAGTCTGTAATGAATGAAATGACCTGAAAAAATATTCAGTAACGGGGAGTTTTTTAATTCTAATTGATCTTTCAGTAAATTACTCGAATTCTCAAATCTACTTATTTTTGAACATTGGAGGACACCATTACCAGCATGCTAAATGATAGTCTTATAATAGCATAACGAAATTTTAGTTCCACAGTTTACCTAATATAAAAGGTTGCGGTGTTCATCGAGTAGTAGGAAATTTAATGACTCACATATTCTTTGCTGAAAGATTTGATTTCACTTGTTACAAAATTTAACGACATTGACACTATATTTACAAATGAAAAGAGTGATATTTATTGATAACTCTTTGAAATCACATCCTCTTACGCCTAACCAACTCTTTCGTTTATTATAATATTATGGCAGTTTTGCAATACGGCACCATACAATATTTGTAAAACATCGTTAATGTAATGAAACTCTTCACAGAAACAGCAAAATACACAACCTCAAATTTATTCAATGTCTAATGACTCAAAACAAAAATAAAATAAGATGACAGACTTTAAAATTCAATCCAGTGTTGCCAAGTTGATAGAGAAAACAATTCAAATGTATGTAACATGTATGTAACAAATGTATTCAAAAGTGCACATGATTATTCACACTTGTGGACACACACCGACACTACCAACTCAAATCACAACTTTTTTTTGTGCGTTTTTTATATGTTCCCATCCAATCCTCATTACATCTCTGGAATGTGATATTTCATATTTTATCTTGAGTGCCCTTTGAGTCTTCCTAACCGCAAGGCCCTGATTATATCTTTTCAATTCAAGAAGTGATTGAAAGACATTGTATACGATGGTGATAATTTTCCAGATGTCAGCCTCTATTGGAAGAACTTCATGACCTCCGCATTCAATCAAGTCATTTGTAATCGTCATCTGATAAAAAACGCAATGGTTTTGATCCCTTACCATCTTGTCATTGACCCTAGTCGGAGGGTACCTCATGTTATGCTAACCCACGTCCAAGATTTCTTCAGGGTTAGCCTAATTTAACGCCCTGTGGTAGAATGCGTGACACCTGGTGACCTTCCCTTCATTAGTGACACCTCACCCTGCCCGATGAGGTGTCACCATATTCTACGTACGAGTCCTCCTAAATGACGGTGAAAACTAATGTGTGTTAGCCGTGTTAGAAGGATGGGTGATTTTGAACCCGCTCAGTGTCACTAACGAAACCTTTGAAGTACCAAGCGCCTTCTTATCGTAGAAAGCCTCGTGATGCTCTGCTATGATGGACCTACCTCTCCTTCGGAACCTTTACGGGTAATTAAGTAACCAAAGAATCCGACTCTAAGTCTACAGAAGCAATGGATAACCCTTATTGTCCTTTCTGTAACAACGGATTGAGAGCAAGAGCTTCTCAGTTCTCTAATCTTTGATACTGTTAACAGAGCTAGGTGGTGAAACTTATTGCCTCCTCGAGAAGGATACTTCATGAATATGCCTTGCACAATATTCATGAGCAGCAAAACCGGTATCTACATCAAAAGAGGAAACGCAATCGACCTGAGCAGGTCAGCAAATGCCTACACTCAAACGATGATTTTCCCAAACCATCGACGAAAAATGTCCAGCATGTTTGGATCTAATGAATGTCATAATTGACTCACAGATGTCCTCATATGAGAAGGTTTCTGCAGTCATAAAGGCAGGAATCTTGCCACTTGAACTTTAACATTATGTCTGCCGTGAAGGGTATTCGCGGTAGGATTCCACAGCTACACATTCCGGTCTGTGATCCACCTTGAAGTGGATTATTTTCTACACTTCAAGTCAGGAAGGTATCAGCGTTTGGCACAGTCCCACTCCAGCTGACTCCAAAGTTCACTCACTGAAATAAAGTAATCAGATTCAGAGGAAGAGTTTGACATGGGTGCACCTGAGTTTCTTGTCCGATTTTGTACCATTTGCTAAAGTAAATAGTGTTGCAACTCATCGAAGGTGGATTGCCATTCGTGCTTACTCAGTATTCATATATTACTATTATTATCACCCATAAGTGCGTGACACCTGGTGACCTTCCCTTCATTAGTGACACCTCACCCTGCCCGATGAGGTGTCACCATATTCTACGTACGAGTCCTCCTAAATGACGGTGAAAACTAATGTGTGTTAGCCGTGTTAGAAGGATGGGTGATTTTGAACCCGCTCAGTGTCACTAACGAAACCTTTGAAGTACCAAGCGCCTTCTTATCGTAGAAAGCCTCGTGATGCTCTGCTATGATGGACCTACCTCTCCTTCGGAACCTTTACGGGTAATTAAGTAACCAAAGAATCCGACTCTAAGTCTACAGAAGCAATGGATAACCCTTATTGTCCTTTCTGTAACAACGGATTGAGAGCAAGAGCTTCTCAGTTCTCTAATCTCAGTTCTCTAATCTTTGATACTGTTAACAGAGCTAGGTGGTGCAGAAATGAAACTTATTGCCTCTTCGAGAAGGATACTTCATGAATATGCCTTGCACAATATTCATGAGCAGCAAAACCGGTATCTACATCAAAAGAGGAAACGCAATCGACCTGAGCAGGTCAGCAAATGCCTATACTCAAACGATGATTTTCCCAAACCATCGACGAAAAATGTCCAGCATGTTTGGATCTAATGAATGTCATTATAATTGACTCACAGATGTCCTCATATGAGAAGGTTTCTGCAGTCATAAAGGCAGGAATCTTGCCACTTGAACTTTAACATTATGTAGGATTCCACAGCTACACATTCCGGTCTGTGATCCACCTTGAAGTGGATTATTTTTTACACTTCAAGTCAGAAAGGTATCAGCGTTTGGCACAGTCCCACTTCAGCTGACTCCAAAGTTCACTCACTGAAATAAAGTAATCAGATTCAGAGGAAGAGTTTGACATGGGTGCACCTGAGTTTCTTGTACGATTTTGTACCAGTTGCTAAAGTAAATAGTGTTGCAACTCATCGAAGGTGGATTGCCATTCGTGCTTACTCAGTATTCATATATTACTATTATTATCACCCATAAGCTATATTGTTGATGCGGGGAATGAAAGAAATGTGATATTTGCCTAATACAACTTGTTCAAAGTTTAAATCTGGTAATTTCAGTCAAAATATTTTTGAATTATGAGACTCTTTATTATTTTCAGTGTACCTCAAGGTCTGGAAGATGTTTCTACATATCCGACGTTGTTTGCTGAATTGATAGGCACTGGGAAGTGGAGTGTTGATGATTTGAAGAAACTGGCTGGGATGAACTTTCTTAGAGTATTTCAGGAAGCGGAAAGAGTACGGGATGAGTTCAAGAGAGCCAACGTGCCACCCTATGAAGACGTTATGCCGAAGCAAAAGGAAAATAACTGTTCTTCGCAGAGTAATTGACTTTCTGAAGGGTTGGTTTCCATTGTATTCGCGAAAAGATCTACAGAAAGTGATTTCTATAGTGAATTTGATATTTTGAAAATTTTAGTAACAAAAGAACATCCACAAAAATAATTTTTCTTAGTTATGCAGGACTACAATTAGACATTAAACTGAGTGACAAAAAAAACCAAGAAAGTACTTGATAAAAATATATATATTCACAATATGAAGTACCTGAATATCAAATACTTGAGTTGTACCTAGCCAATTATTATTTAATGTGTATCTGAGTCTGTAATGAATGAAATGACCTGAAAAAATATTCAGTAACGGGGAGTTTTTTAATTCTAATTGATCTTTCAGTAAATTACTCGAATTCTCAAATCTACTTATTTTTGAACATTGGAGGACACCATTACCAGCATGCTAAATGATAGTCTTATAATAGCATAACGAAATTTTAGTTCCACAGTTTACCTAATATAAAAGGTTGCGGTGTTCATCGAGTAGTAGGAAATTTAATGACTCACATATTCTTTGCTGAAAGATTTGATTTCACTTGTTACAAAATTTAACGACATTGACACTATATTTACAAATGAAAAGAGTGATATTTATTGATAACTCTTTGAAATCACATCCTCTTACGCCTAACCAACTCTTTCGTTTATTATAATATTATGGCAGTTTTGCAATACGGCACCATACAATATTTGTAAAACATCGTTAATGTAATGAAACTCTTCACAGAAACAGCAAAATACACAACCTCAAATTTATTCAATGTCTAATGACTCAAAACAAAAATAAAATAAGATGACAGACTTTAAAATTCAATCCAGTGTTGCCAAGTTGATAGAGAAAACAATTCAAATGTATGTAACATGTATGTAACAAATGTATTCAAAAGTGCACATGATTATTCACACTTGTGGACACACACCGACACTACCAACTCAAATCACAACTTTTTTTTGTGCGTTTTTTATATGTTCCCATCCAATCCTCATTACATCTCTGGAATGTGATATTTCATATTTTAACAAATTAAGAACAGAACAACAACACACAATTAGTATTAATTCAATTTCGAAAATTCACAAACTGACAGCGTCATACCAATTTAATTGTCACTATCGCTAATGGCGACCTACTAGATAGATTAGTTTCGTATTTTCTTATTTATGACGATGTATCTCTGTAGTTGTTCCTAAAATAATTGTTTGCTGCGAACTGGTTTATTTTGGGCATTTTTTGTTTAAAATGAAATAGGCTATCGGAAATAAATGTTTAAATGGTAAATAAATGATAAGACAAAAAGTTACATTTGAAATAAATTTTAGGGGTTGCATTTTCCACCCCTTACAACCAAATTTATTTAGCCAAATAAATTTCTGGCTAAGTGTCCTTTTGGTAGTACAAAACGTCAGGTTAATTTCAATATTGTAACTCTTTTAGTGCTTGTGAAAAAAATTGTTATACAAATTTTATGTGCCCCCTTTAAGGGGCTGTATCTTAACAAGGGATGCTTCAATGAAATTTCTTTATATATAAGATCCTATCTTTTTTTCGATGAGAAATCACCTCCTTAAATGTTTTACACTTATTTAGTTACACCCTGTATACCGCTGTATCATGACAATCATGAATTTCATCATCATTTTTGGGAATTGTAATTTTAAGGAAAATATATTTATTGAAAAGTGACAACCGAGACAAAAAGAGAGAGGGAAGGAGGGAGGATGATGTAATGTGCTTATTGCCATCTTATATTATAAGAATTCAGGCAGTTTTCTAAAAAAAAGTTTTCTTATTAGAAATAATTAAATCATGTCAAAAATCATTGTCATCTCATTAAGTTTATCAGATTGTATAAAGTGTTTATTAGAAAGTTTGAAGGATTTTAACTTTTCCATATTTAAGGTAGAATTGTGGCTCTAGAAAACCTTGTGTGTTCATAAAAATTATTCAACTGTGTCATTATGGCATGAGAATGTATGTTTGAGTGGCTGAAAAATTAATAATGCCAGATATTTTTTAAAACTTTCCAATTAGTTTTTTGGTTTTATTGTACCTTGTTTTCGATAATCAGCTTAATCAATAATTCAGTGCATGAATAATAAATCGACGGAGTTATTGTATTAGATTTTATTATAGATTCAACCATACAAAAACGATCGGAAACAAACATAAATATGTAAGATCACAACTTTTGATGATTCATTACAAAATTGTTCTTCGACAGAACCCCACACAATATCGATACAGGCCCCGATCTAGGGAGGGGGCAAGCCGGGGCTTATGCCATGGACGGCAAGTTCATAGAGAGGCTAAATTCACACTTTACAGAAGAATGATTGTGTTATCATGCTGAATTCGAATTTTTCTTCTCTTAATGGTACTAATATTTTGAAAATGTCAATTGAAGAACTGCAAAAGTATAGATCAGCTCTGGCTCAAAAATACAAGCGATTTAAGCACAGTTGAGTTCAGCTAGTAACTCAACGTTTTCAAAGAGCAAGTTCCACATTTATTCGGTGATATAGAAACGGATAATTGTTTCTATCTCTTGCAATATATCTATGCGCATAATTTGCAGGAGGCTTTTCCTAATATTTGTATTGTCCTGCGAATTTATTTTAGGCTTCCTACTACACCCGCAAACTGTGAGCGAAGTTTAAGCAAACTGAAAATAATTAAAAATGATTTGCGATCTTCTATGAGCCAGGAACACTTATCAAGTCTTGCAATCTCAGCGATAGAAAATATAATTGCACACAAGTTAAATTATGACAAGGCTATATATTTATTTGCCGAACAAAAACCTCGACGAGTAATATTGTAATTCCAATTCACAATATGCAAGAATATATTTGTTTTTATTTTTATCATACATATTTTTATTTTGAATCCTATCCTGCGCAACGTTTGAAATATGTCCTACACGTCCATGTCTATATATCTATGAATAAATATGCGTAACACACAAAGAACAGCAATAAATGCATTGTTACTGGAAGGCCCATGTCCAAATGTCAATCAATCAGTGGACATCCGATAGCTGAAATTATGAAGATGGTAAAGGTAAAAATGAATCTAAATGGGCGAAGGAGGGATTTTTCAATTTTTGACACGCCTAAAAAATATGAAGATCTGGGGCTGTATCGATAAATTTTATTTATTAATAATATGTCTTTGTCATGAAAACTGTATCTCCAATACCGTAATTTATTGTGAATTCAAACTTTGTAACATCGATAAAAGTCCCGACAACCCCAGTAACAATGTGATATTCAATTTTGGCACGAAATGTATTCACCAAATCTCAAATGACTCTAATTTTTCACCTCAGTTTTTTTTTTGCAAGAAATCAGTCGTTGAATCCTTTCAACAGACTGAATTCAACATTGAAATTATTGGTATCATTATTTTGTAATTATTATTCGGTTATATGTCTACCTGAACAAATTCAATTTTTTTCAGTTATGCTTTCACAGATAAATCAGTGAATATAAGCAGAGATTCACATATATTTTGTTGACTCAAAACTATTGCTATTCGACGAAAGTCGAAAGCGCTTTGCAAGAATTTTAAAATATTATACACTTTAATACAAAACCTCTTCGATTCATTAATTCAAATAAGTGTATTCAGCTTTTCCAAATCCTTCTATTGCTATGTATTCGAAAGTTTTTCTCAAGTTCTGTAACGACACCTTATAAATTTAACAAACTTTGGAAATACTTAAACCTCCAAAACGACCCTATACATTTCATCTATTTACATTCATTTAATATATCGTGATAACTGCCAATTCGTTAGCACATTTTGACAACTTATACAATTTTTGTGAGTAAGTTCTCTCGATTTTCATTATTTGCGCAAAACTGAAGTTTTCAATATAACTTGTGCATCACGAGTAGGTATTTTTCATAATATTTTGAAGTTCCTTCTGTGAAGGATTTTGAGAAATTATATTGATGATGATTTTGATTTTTTAAATTCTGAGTACTAATAATCAATATCTTCCGGTACTTCATGAAAGATTTGCAATATCTATAGGTATGATAAGGCTTCAAACGAATAAAACCCCTTTTCTTATATATCAAACAATTTTTCTTCTACCCAACGATCGTTCGAGAATCATTATCTGAAAATTTTATATCAAGTATACGATGTCTTTCCCATTCCCTCGACAAATCGTATGGAATAGCCGACTCTACTTATAGATAATGCATGAAAATATACTTTTCTTTAGCGAGTCCCAAAGTTTTTGAAGAATTTAATTATGTTTATAACTAATCATGAAGAGTTCTCATCAAAGATTCATACCTCTGGTGAATTTGGTCTCCAACTGTTCAATTGTTTTCTGATAGTTTGGAAAACGTCCAACAATTCCATTAGCTGGCGAACCTTTCTCCGTCAACTGCAATAGGTATTGAAACTTTTCGTCAAAATCAATATTATCGTTTCCATAAAATTTCTTCTGGTACAGTTAAGAAAATCTGTATTAAGTTTGTACCCCTTGTTAACTGACCTGGATTCATGTTGGGGCATAGCTTCAGTTGATGCTAAACTAAATGTAGTATCTTCTAAACTTGCGTATCTCATTATGTTTGGTTGCAAAAATATCTCTATCAGCTTTTTTTAATTAATACATCTTCGGCGTTTCTCAACATTGAACTTAAATGTTCAAATTCATGCAATAGCGCGGCTGCGGTATCACCAATTTTGCCATATAAAAATTTTTCTATCTACCTTTCGATTGACGAAGTAATGACAACAAGTCTTTCTTCCAGTCATAAACAAGAAGACAAAATATGAAGAAAATTGTCTTAAATTGCAAGCCTTATATACAAGGCGAGTATCGGGGCTAAGATAGTTATTGACCCTTTCTTCAATCTAATAATAATGTTACGTTTTACCCGTGAATTAACCAATAATTGACTGCTTATTCAACCAAACACTCTAACTTAAACTTCAACTCTTATTCAAATGTCTATCACCTTACGCCCTGTACGGCACTGTTACTTAAACTTGACTATATCGGTGGGCGAGTGGGTCGCATTTATACAGTGCTAGTCAAAAGTCCCCTCCCCCGCTCGTATCTTTTGAACGGGTATACTTCTAATAATGAAATTTGGAGGGTGGAAATAAACGGATGTAGGCTTCTTA